CTGGCTGCTCAGCCAGGCTGGCTGGGGACTGGCACTCCCAGGGGCTCAAGATATTCTACCATCTCCCTCCCACTCCAGAAGAGTCCTGCTTTGACCTGAACTCAAAAGAGCAACTGGCCAGTAGGGGTAAAACCAGGCAGATTGCTTCCCTGCCACCATTAGGGCCCTGGTGACAGGCACCTCCAGAGCCCTGCTCTGCACCCTGTCCAACCACTCCCTCCCTGGAAAGCCCCTCTTCCTTCCCCATCCACTGGGAAATCCCAAGGTGCCCGCTGGCCCAGTCATAGCACTTCCTGTGAGGTCCTTGCCAGGCCTGAGCCCCACTGCAGCCCAGCTATCCTCCTCCTGGCTGCTGAGGGCAGCTGCTGTGTCCATCTAGCCCATCTCTCCTGCATATCTCCTTGGCATGAGCTGACACTAGGATGCATAGTGGAAGTGGGTGTCCCCTGAGAGAATCCTCAGAGAGCCCCATGGTCCCTGAGGCCAAGTTCAGCATTCAGGATTCCTCTCTGTCCAGGAACCAGAGGTCAATCCTGCCATCATCCCATCTTTACCCATTTCTGTTCTGTTTCACATGCAAGACATGAGACTGTGCCCCAAATATATCTGCAGGAGAAAGAACATGACCCCAAATGTGCATCTGACATACACATTATTTTGAGTTAGTTATTTTGAGAAAGGAAAGCCACCATAAAAGCTCTGAAAACAAGAATGAGTTTCCCTTTTGTAAGGAAAATTTACATTCATCAAGGAATCTCCCACTGCACCTGGAAGAGAGGAACTCTCCTAACAGGAAGAAAAGAGAAGGCAGCCACGGGGTTCTGCCTGGCACAACTTCCCCACACCTGCTTTCTTTGTTCCTGGACTATGATATTTAAACTTGAAAGCAATCCATGTGTTTATAAGGACACCTGCCCAGGCACCCTGTGCCAGATGTGTACTTGTTACTAAACATGTCTGCCTTTCTCTTCTTCATCTGCCTCTGAGTCAGGGCCCCTTACAAAGCTTTTCTCCCTGTATCTCAAAGTTTCCCCTTCCCAAAGTCTCCTTTTTGTTATCCACCACTCTACAGCTGCACCAAGGTGGCAGAGAGACCAACAGTGGTTTCACCTGGCTTCACCCTGGCTCCTTCCTCATTCCAGAGCACTGGCCCTGTTTCTTTCTTTTTTTTTTTTTTTTTTTTTTGAGTTTATTGGTACATTTAGGGATACAGTACAGTTACATTCATTGTTGGGATCATGTACCTTTACATGGCAAGTCTTGATTCTCATTTTTTTCCCCTTACCTCTGCCCTCCCTTCACCCCCTCCTCCCCTCCCCATCTACAGGCCCTGTTTCTTAAACTCCTGGACCTCCCGCTCTGGGTACACTGGCTCTGGTCCACAGAAAGGTTCCTACTGGCCTTGAGGTCTCCTGTGAAGGTTCTTGGCCTAGGCAATTCCTCCAAAGGCAGGTAGCAATCCAGAATGCAATGGGTCCCAGACCATTCCTGGCCCCTGCCGAGGGTCTGGTGGGGGCTTCTGTCACCCCACTGCTCCTAGCTTCCTCTGCCTGGCTCAATCTGGACACAGCCCACAGTCTGTGGCCACCTGCAGGTCCCACACATTGCCCCACACTCCTCCCCCAAGTCCAGTCTCTCAGGGCCCCTGGTGCCTCCCTGAGTGCTTGTGCCCCCCACGCACACCTTGGCACTCCTGTTTCCTCCTGAAACATCAGCCACAAACCTCCAAGAGGGATACATTTCTACTCAGATGTCCTAGGTTCTCCCTGGCCATCCCAGATAAGCTAGGAAGCACCTCACAACCCAAATGTCCCCTTTCTGCAGAAAACATAGTTCCTGTCGCCACCTGACATGTTTCACAGTGGCTCACTGGAGCACCAGTATGTGCATGAAAAGTGCCCAGAACCATCCCATTGTCTCTAATGGGGTCACCTATCATCAACAGGTGCCCACCCCTGAGCAACCCAGCCAGGCCTGGTGGGGCCTGTGCCCACAGAACAAGAAGCCAGAGAAGGCCTGGTGAGGCTCACTGAGGCCCGTGTGTATGTGTGTGTGTGTGTGTGTGTGTGTGTGTATACATGCACGTGCGCACATGCGTCTGTGTGTCTGTGTGCCTATGTGTGTCTGTGCATATGTCTATGTGTATCTATGTTTGTGTATACATATCTGTAGGATGTCTCTAAGTACATGTATCCATATCTCTGTTTGTATATCTGAGCACATGCATGTGTCAGTGTATATCTCTGCTGTATGTGTCTGTATTCCTGTGTCTGTGTGTGTATATCCATCTCTGTGTGTTTGTTCTTTGTGATTTCTAGGAATTAATAGATTGAATCAAATCAAATTATTCCTCAGATCAAGTAAAAAAGGAGCAGGCTGCAGGCATGTCACTCTCTCCTCTGTGGGTCTCCTCTGTCTTTGGGGACCATTTCTGCATGTTACCCTAGCCTGCTGGTGCTGACCCATGGCTGGTCAGCTGTGGTCCCTTCCTTGGTCACCTGCTCTGAGCCTGGCAGTAAGCAGGGCATCATCTGAGACTCTACTTTGGCAGAGCACATCTATTTGGGGGCGATGAAAGACACAGAAGTAAGTGTCATTAGCAACAGTGTGGTTAAGATAACAGATAGAGTGGGGCTAGGAGGGAGGTGCATCTCGGGTGATCTGGTCAGCAGACAGGGATCAACAGAACCAGGAACCCAGCAAGGGAGACATCCAGTGGTAGACAGGAGTGACCACAACACCGGGAGACCCCAGGGGGCTCCAGAAGGTCCCCACATATGCACCCCAGGTTCCGAGATCAGGTCTCCAGGTCTATCCTGAGGCTGCTGGCCACAGTTCTGCTATCAAGGATGCAGATTATAGGAAGGATGAGGGCCGCAGTCCAGAGCACCCAAAGCCAAGGGAGAACCCCTGCCGGCACACTGTATGCTGAGGTGGGAAGAAGCTATGACTATTCCCAGGGTGAAGCTGTGTTCCAGAGGTGCATCCCAAAGTCAACCTTCATCACCTTGTGGGCACAGCCCCATCTTAACACAGCCCCCAACTCAACACAGCTGGGAGCTCCTGCTCCAGGGGATTGATTTACTAAGGAGATGGACAGAACTCTCTCCTCTCAATAAGCAATAGTGAGCAGTGACTGAATGCTGGGCACTGGACCAGGCACCAGACTCAAGGATGAATTTATGTGTCTCAAATGAGGCCCAGAGAGGGCAGTGAGGGCCCAAGCATGGGAGTCCATGACAAGGGAGGGGCTCCCTACCCTGGCCCCCTTCCCATAGCCCCTTACCTGGTCCTGCTGAAGAGGCTGCTGAGCTGGGTCCCTCCTTCCTGCCTTGAGAAGCTTCCTAGGCACTGGGGCCCGAGTTGTACCTGAGCCGTGTATCATTCCTTGACCCTCCCCTCTTACCTTCCTATTTTAGGATGAAATTCATTTGGGCTCCCATTACGCAGGGGGGCTGGAGATCCAGAAGCCACGTTGCAGAAGCAGCGCTCCCCTAGGAGATCTTATGCAGGGGAGGCAGAGACGCGCCCGCCCCGCCCGCAGCCTCAGAGGTGCTTCCCCCCCACACACACACACACCTCCAAGCCCCCAGGAGCCCTTTGGGCGCTGCGCCTCGGGGTTGAAGGCACAGGCGTGGTCCCGGGG